GGTTCCTTCACTTACTGCTTGTAAGATGTAGTTAGTCCCAAGAATACATTCTTCAAAATGAGTCCCTTTTTGCAAAGATTTTAGGGTTGCTTGGCTGCTGGATAACCAGAGTACTCTATCCCTGTTCCCTGCCAGCTGTTTGTAAATTGCTGAGGATGGAAGCACTTAGGACCAAGCCAAGAGCAACTAAGAGTCTCAGAAGGACAAACAGACAATGACTTTTAGGTTTTTTGTTTGTTCATTTTTTTAAACACACCTCTACCCAGGCCTGGCAGGATGCCTGCCATTCATTTGAACAGAGGCCCTGATATTAGCAAAGGGCTGCCTCCTCCCACCTGGCAAATAAAAAACCTATTCTTTGCTTGACTGTGAGATCATACTGAACACCCTACCCTACTGGAGCTTTGAAGTTAAGAGGTATTTGGAAGCAATATAAGGTTTGCTCAGAAAATCTTGAGGCCTGGGCCTACTCTTGTCACCCCGAATCTCAACTTTCTCACCTGTNATGTATCTCAAAAATTATAGAGCAGAAGAGTAAAAATTCCTGGAGAAGTTCATAGGGTCAGCAGAAGTAGAGTTTAGTGGACGGTACTAGTGGGTGGTTTTTCGTGTGGTTTTGTTTTTTGGGGGGGGCAGCTGGCCACTATGGGGATCAGCACTCTTGACCTTGGTCTTACAACACTGCACTCTAACCAACTGAGCAAGTGAGCTAACCAGCCAGCCCTCTGGTGTTCTTTGATATGCTACTTTCCTTTTTTTCCCAAGATTACAACCCAGACGACATTCATCATTTGTGGGGCCTGGTACAAAATGTAAATGTGGGTACTCTTGTTTAAAAATTAAGAATTTCAAGATGAAAATAGCAGAGCATTAAACCAAATCCGGGGCCCTGTGTAGTCACAGGTCATATGCCCATGAAGTAGCCCTAAATAAAGGAGACTGTACTTCCCAGCTCCTTGGCCAAATCCCTGGCCAATGATATGTGAGTGGGAAAGAGGTGTGGGCCACCTTTGGAGTGAGGCAGTGAAGAGCACTCATGTGATCTCCAGTCTCTTCCTTCCCCTGTCACAGTAAACACGCAGTCTTTGTGTCAAATAGGTGGGGCCAC